CAGGGTGGTGTCCTTTCCCCGCTACTGTTTAACTTTTACATTTCAAAGCTCCCTCAACCACCAGAGGGAGCCTCGATTGTCTCTTACGCCGACGATTGCTCGATCATGGCGACTGGGAATGGAATTGATGACCTGTGTTCGAAAGTAAACGGGTATCTCTCCGAACTTTCTCGCTTATTCACTGCAAAGTGTCTAGGCCTCTCCCCTACGAAATCCTCTGCGACCCTGTTCACAACCTGGACGAAGGAGGTCAGGCTACCGCTGGGAATTCACGTCGATGACACACCAATTCCGACGGTGAATAATCCCAAAATACTCGGAGCAACATTCGACAGCCTGCTCCCCCTCTGCGCACGCAACCGCTATTGTCAATAAAGTACAGAGCCGCAACAAGGTCCTCAAGTCGCTAGCCGGCAGTACTTGGGGCAAAGACAAAGAAACGTTGCTGGCAACATACAAGGCAATAGGCCGGCCGGTTTTAAACTACGCAGCACCAGTGTGGTCGCCGGGGACTAGAAGGACGCAGTGGATGAAGTTACAGACAGTACAAAACACAGCACTTAGGACAGCGACCGGATGCCTCCTGATGACACCAGAACACCATCTCCACGATGAGGCGAAAATGCTCCCAATTAGGGAGCACAACACGATGCTCTGCAAGCAGTTCCTGGTTGGGAGCCACAGATGTGGCCACCCAAACAGACAGCTGCTTGCAGAGCCCTCGCCAAGGCACGTCAGGAGGCATCTATATGAACTGGCGGACGAAGTCCAGAGGTTCATTAAGCAGCCTCTGGACCCGTCAGCTTACAGATAGGCCCTGAACGGCATTCACAGTGACGCAGTCTCAAGTTATGTAGACTCTAGAACCGTGAATGCCGTTCTAGGCGCACAAACACCGGACATCGACGCGACGGAGCTCCATCTGCCTCGGGAGACCAGAACAACAATAGCCCAACTTCGCTCTGGCTACAGCAGCAGGCTAAACTCCTACTTGACTAGGCTAAATGCGGATGTGCCGAACGAATGTCCGTCATGCGGAGAGACCCCTCACGACTCAAAACATCTCTTCGCATGTCCGGAAAACCCCACAACCCTAACGGCGTCGTCCCTGTGGACCGACCCCATAGAGGCTGCCGTTAGTGGAACTCTACAACGACTGAGATAAAAACCGATCTGGGCGGGGTTGTTGTAGCCGCTACAACAACAACAACTCCTGCAAATTCCAGCTAGTAAAATTTTTGGTTTCAAGAATTTGCAGCTCTCTTGTGTTGTTACGCTCGCGAATTCGTTCTCTTTCGCAAATATTTTGGGTTATAGAATGGAAAGCTTGCAAGTAACAATATTTTGATATTTTGTTTTTTTTTATCATGGACCAAACGAAAAGAAATGGACCAAAATGGCAACCGTGAACACCACCTTGTATAAATTCGTCTTGGCTCGATACTTCCGAATTGATACTGGTATAAAAAAAAGAACGGAAATAAAATTATACGTCTTATATTAATATACATACATATAAAATACAATATTGTCGGCAAAAATAGATATGAAAACCATCAATGAAAAATANGTCCGGAAAACCCCACAACCCTAACGGCGTCGTCCCTGTGGACCGACCCCATAGAGGCTGCCGTTAGTGGAACTCTACAACGACTGAGATAAAAACCGATCTGGGCGGGGTTGTTGTAGCCGCTACAACAACAACAACTCCTGCAAATTCCAGCTAGTAAAATTTTTGGTTTCAAGAATTTTCAGCTCTCTCGTGTTGTTACGCTCGCGAATTCGTTCTCTTTCGCAAATATTTTGGGTTATAGAATGGAAAACTTGTAAGTACTAGAACAATTCGTAACAATATTTTGATATTTTGTTTTTTTTTATCATGGACCAAACGAAAAGAAATGGACCAAAATGGCAACCGTGAACACCACCTTGTATAAATTCGTCTTGGCTCGATACTTCCGAATTGATACTGGTATAAAAAAAAGAACGGAAATAAAATTATACGTCTTATATTAATATACATACATATAAAATACAATATTGTCGGCAAAAATAGATATGAAAACCATCAATGAAAAATATACACACATGTTAACAAAAACTAAAACTACACAGGAACTGTAAAAAAACTAAAATTAACGAGATAACTCGGATTACTCCGGCACAAAAAAATTAGTGTGATGTGCATTTGACCTGTCCGGTTGATTATGTATTTCGACCCGCAGAATCCGAATTTGAAGTCAGTTTGTCCAATATACCTCCTAGAATTCGAGAAAACTGCAAAAACCCGTTTTTTATTGCAGATTTTTTAAGGTTTTTTTTTTTTGAGTTTTCTCGTAATCTAGGAGGTATATTGGCCAAACTGACTTCAAATTCGGATTCTGCGGGGTCGAAATACATAACCATAGGTAGGTCTGGTCAAATGCACATCACACTATTTTTTTTGTGTGCCGGTATTATATATTTTTTTTTTTNACGGAAATAAAATTATACGTCTTATATTAATATACATACATATAAAATACAATATTGTCGGCAAAAATAGATATGAAAACCATCAATGAAAAATATAAACACATGTTAACAAAAACTAAAACTACACAGGAACTGTAAAAAAACTAAAATTAACGAGATAACTCGGATTACTCCGGCACACAAAAAAATTAGTGTGATGTGCATTTGACCTGTCCGGTTGATTATGTATTTCGACCCGCAGAATCCGAATTTGAAGTCAGTTTGTCCAATATACCTCCTAGAATTCGAGAAAACTGCAAAAACCCGTTTTTTATTGCAGATTTTTTAAGGTTTTTTTTTTTTTGGTTTTCTCGTAATCTAGGAGGTATATTGGCCAAACTGACTTCAAATTCGGATTCTGCGGGGTCGAAATACATAACCATAGGTAGGTCTGGTCAAATGCACATCACACTATTTTTTTTGTGTGCCGGTATTATATATTTTTTTTTTATGGATTTAAGTTACTTCATAACGCCTCTTGGGAGAAGTCAAGATCTCCTATTATTCTCAGATTATTATAGGTAAATTCTTTGTTTTAAGCTTTCGGCTGCTGCTGCCAGGCGACATTTTAGACAGAGTAGGTAGATGGTTAAAGCCGGAGCGGGGATCAGGTAGATGTATAACTCGATTTTCGTTTGGATTGCGTTTAGAGCGAGTCGAAAAATTGGATGTAGAGGTTTTATGCGCAACTGTTGTATGGACTATGGAAGAACGTGAATCAGGAGCAATGCTTTTTTGAAAAGATTCATAGGCTTCATCAGTACTCTCATCTGTGCTCCACTCCGATTCATCATTGATGAGAATTTTTGGTGCGACGATTGCTTTCTTTTTAGCCCTCTTGTACAAAGAAAAACGGTTTTTTATACCTGAACTTTGACGTCCAGATCTACGACGAATCATGGTTGCAATGACGCGAGTTTTCTTTAGTGGAGGTTTGAAGGAAGATTTCATCGGTAACTTCGATCCTACGGCAGAAGCGGTATTACATACATTAGTCATTGGTTTCGTGGAAATGCTGGGACTATTAACTGGGAATATCAAGCTTCTTTTAGCCAATGGTGTATTATTTTTATTTTGGTTTAGTTCACGTTTTTTTGCAGAACTCGCAGATGCAGATCTTGGAACAGTTGACAAATTGATATGGGACAGCGCTTTACGCATAGAAATCAACGAACCGTTCTTTCCTGAAATGGGTGTGCGATTAGTTACAGAATGAGGGGTTTGAGCATTTTTACGTGCACTACTCATTTTGCCTTTTTCTTGCCGCTTTTTCTCCCACTGTTTCCCCATTAACACCAAAATATTTTCGCCATGCACATGAAATTCTTGATGCTCCTGTTCTTCATATGCCATTACTAATTCTTTAATTTGTTCCTCGATTTTCGGTAATTTGGTTGCAATAGTTTTTCGTTCTCTCTCCTCTTTCAACAATTGTCCTCCTCTATTGTTGTAGCGTCCAGGATCGCAGGCCTTGGCCTCCAAGGCTTCCATTCGGTCCCATAATAGTTTTCGATTATCAAACAATTCAAATATTTGACGATTATTTTCATAGAACCGTTTTAGATCTTCTAACTCGATTTCATGCAATACCAATAGGTCTTCTGTGTAACAATTGCTGTGAAAGTTGGAAAAACGATTTCGTTCTGTTTCGGATTTTAGAGTTTTATCCCACAAGTCTACAATTTCAGTACGTATTTGTTGAAGGCATTCTTTTATATTTTGGCTTTGTAATGATTCACAACGGTTTAGTTCTTCTTTAAGTACACTGTATGTGCGTTGATTGAATTCCACGCATCCTTTAAATTTATTTCGGGTATTCGGTGATGTTTTTAAACGGCCCCAAAGAGATTCTAATTTCTTGCGCATACCAACGATACGCTCCGACAATGCATGCACACGAGAGCCGTACAACTCCGCCATTCGTCTGAGCGCTGTGAAAGTTTCATCATTCAATTTAATTTGTCTATGATTTAGAAGTCTATCATCTGCATCTGTGTTAACTTGTGCCTCTAAAGTGTTTAAATAATTTTTTATTTCCCTACGCAACAGTGACATCTCGTTCAAACGTTCCATACGTTCCACCTTCAGTTGATCTAAATGACTGCGAAATTCCATTATTTCTTCTTCTGAAGGCAATGGATCTGCTAATAGAGGCCGCGGTGCTTCACCTAACTCCTCACACAAACCCTCCTGTTCAAGTAGCAGTTCGCATATTTCTTCACGGCGCCGTCTCAATTGTTCACGCAATTCAGATAAACTTTTATCCATATCCGACTGTAGAGTCAACAAAGGCACATTTCTGTCTTCCATTCTTGGCAATTGTACTTTTGGTTTCAGTAAACGACACAACGTGTCTGCTTCATTGCGTAGTTCTTCTAATTCATTCTCTATTAACTGTTTTCTTTGAATAGATTCTTCTTTCAATTCTGCGAAAAATGTTTTAACATGCTCCTTGAGTTTCTTAAAGTTATACAAGCATATTTCTTCGTCGAACATTTCCGTCCATATGGAGGCGAGCTCATCCACATTTTCAGCTGTTATCCTCTGCAGCTCGGAATTCTCATTTTCGAAGTCAGCCATTTTATATGCTTTCTTCCCGTTAGCTCTGAAACTTTGCAGTTCTTAATATAAATGCATTCCCATTTAACATATCAACATACCCACGCGATGAAATTATATCCAAAGGGTGCCCCTGTTTTCACGAGCTTTCTTGCCAATAAAATGACAGGTTAGTCCCATGAACCAACGACTATGTTTTTGGACTGTATTTTTGGTTCATGGGTTAGTCCTGTAAGATGTAGTTCTTTAAAGTGACACTGATGCACAGTATAGAGATGTCGGAAAAACATCGATGCATCGAAAATATCGATGTTTTGCTTCGATGCATCGAAAATTTTCCTTTCGATGTATAAATAGTCGATGTATCGATGCATCGATGTATCGATGTTTTTTGAAAACTGACATCTACGGTACATTTGGGGTGTTCACAGTTCGTTCCAAATTGTGTCTGAAAATGTAGACGTCTACATTTTGAGACATTTTTAGCATCAAACTGTGAGCACCCCTTTCTAGCAGTCGTCGCAAAATCGTCTCAAAACTTTGCTGGTGTTGCCAGACATTTCTTGTTTGCGTGCATTGTTTATATGTCGCCTTTCGATTTTGTTTCTGAAAAATTGTAATTATTTAACTTAATTACCAATTCGTAATATTTGTTATTTCTTTTCCTTGATTTGTTTCTTTTCATCAGAAATTGCGCTCAAATTAAATGCAAATACAGAAAACGTGCCCAATAAATAAAAAAAATGTGATTAGTATTGCCATAATGCAACCCTGCTGCGAGGTTGCAAAATGTAGACGCGTAAAAAACATACCTTTGAGTGTGACAAAATGTAGACGGCGTCGTTTTCCAATTTTGTATGGGAAACAACAACACCACAGATTTTACGGTTAGAAAACGTCTTAAAATGTAGACGTCTACATTTTGAGACACTATTTGGAACGAACTGTGAACACCCCAATTGAACGTCATTCCAGTTTTTCAATTGTTAAAAAAAAAGAAGTGACTTTGGTCAAGAAATTTAAATGGCTGCAAAATGTTCCGTTAGAACCATAATTAGCTCAGTTGCAGTAATTTATTTAAAATGTTCTACAATTTTGCTAATGACATATTTTGTTGTGAAACATGTGAAAATGCTATGCAAATCGATGCATCGATCTATGCCCTTCGATGCATCGAAAAATATCGATGTACATTTCGATGCATCGAATCAAAGAAAAACATCGATGTATTTTTGCCACTGACATTCCTAGCACAGTATAGACAGTAGGCAACCATGATCCAACTACACAAGATCTGACAAGATGAAGCAAAAGAAAAAAGTAATTTTCTGGCTGACGTTTGTAATTTCGGCGCCATGTTATTTTCTGTGAAAAGTAAACAAAGAATATGAAGACGAAGCATAAAGAAAAAATGCAAGCAATTTTGTAGCACATGTTTGTGCTAACCAATTTATTATTTTTGTAGGTGTTTTTTGCATCCAATCACCGCACACTTCATTCATTTCATTTCAATTACATTTGCACAAAAAATAACTTAAAAATCACTGAAATAAATCACCGACAAAATAGACATAAAGAAAGAAGCAAAACAAAAATAGCAAACTTCAAAATTACGAACGTCACATACTTTTTTCTCAATTGCTATTACAAATGGCTGCTTCTCAACCGGTCAGATCTGTTCTAATTGGTTCAATTACAATGTCGATGGAACCCACGGGAAAAAGTCCCTCAAAACATACCCAAAACTACTATATATGCATCGATAATAGGTAACTATGAATAGAAAAAAAGTTATCGAAAAATCTATTTAACAAACATTTCTGTTTTATTTTCAGAGGCTATTTCTCGTTTACCTAGTACAGAAAATTCTGAAGTACAATTTCGCGCTGCATTCAGGATCCATAAAAAACGTTATTTTAAAAACTCATCACTAAACAAAACTATATAATTTGGATTACTCAGTATTCGATTTAATCCAATATTCTACTTTCAATTGAATGACTGACTGAATTCTAGTTCTTTTGTTTTAAGAAATCACCATTTATGTTCAAATTACTACTTGATGTTATACTTAATTCACGGTATTAATGGTATTTTAAGAGGAATTTTATTCCCAGCATTTTATTTTCAATTCCAATTTTAAGGATTTTAATGTAACTTTCTTTTGTGTTGAATTATTTATTATTATTTTCTTAGATTTGTTTTAAATGATTGGCCTTTGAATTCTAAATTATGAAAAATGTTTAACAAGCTCGGGGCCCAGCAATTTAATAAAACTCAAATATTTGTTCTATACATATTTTAGATTGTCGATATATCGACATCACTCTGAGGTCATCCTCAGGAGCTGTTGATTACCCCAGGGCACAATGAAGAGTTCCTGTGTATGAACTCAGATTGAGGTCGAAACACATATCGACAATTACAAATATTAAATAATAGGACGAAAATTTGAGTTTTATTAAATTGCTGTGCCCGGAGTTTATTCAAAATTTGTATTCACGGGCGGAATTCACTGAAAACACCTTCGCTGCTCTCCCCACACCAACCGACGTCCACCTTGTTGAACGTAAGTGCCACAGGGCTGTCACCGCTGCTGCAGCTCGCTTCGTACCGGCAGGAGCATCTGAAGACCTACAACTTCACCTCTGGTGTGAGTAAGCTTTGGTCAACCGTGAGGTCACTGTCCAATCCGACGAAGCACGACGACAGAGTCGAAATTTCTTTCGGCGACCATGCTTCGTCGGACCCGGAGCGCTGCGCGAGCTATTTTAGCCTGCAGTTCATATTGCATCCTCCGGTGGACAAAGCCAAACGTCGAGTGTCCAGAAGGCTGCACAAACTGCCAACAACCTGTACCCCCTTTCACTTGCGGTGAAGTTCAGGTGGCCATCGGGAAGGCGAAAGCCTCCAAAGCCATGGGTCCCGACGGAATATGCATGCTGATGCTGAAAAATTTGGGTGCTGCGGGTGTAGCGTACCTAACGGAGGTCCTCAACTTGTCCATGGCCACTCTCATCACCCCAGACATTTGGAAGGTGGGGAGAGTCGTCCCACTGCTCAAACCGGGGAAACCTGCCAACATAGGAGATTCTTATCGTCCGATAACACTCCTTTGCCCGGTAGCGAAGACACTCGAGGCCTTACTACTCCCGTATTTCTCAAACCACTTGACCCCAGCGAAGCATCAGCATGGTTTCCGTAAAGTGCACAGTACAACAACAGCACTTAACGCCATAAACACTCAGATAACTCGTGGCCTTAACCGTAAACGTCCGTGTGAGAGAACGATTCTAGTAGCGTTGGACCTGTCAAAGGCTTTTGACACTGTCAGCCATTCCACGCTGCTAGTAGATGTAGAGGCTTCCTCTCTCCCACAGAGGCTCAAACGGTGGTCAGCGAATTATCGGAGTGGTCGACACTCGTCGTTAATGTTTAGAGACAAATTGCACAGTACAACAACAGCACTTAACGCCATAAACACTCAGATAACACGTGGCCTTAACCGCAACTGTCCCTGTGAGGGAACTACTCTAGTAGCGTTGGACCTGTCAAAGGCTTTTGACACTGTCAGCCATTCCACGCTGCTAGTAGATGTAGAGGCTTCCTCTCTCCCACAGAGGCTGAAACGGTGGTCGGCGAATTATCGGAGTGGTCGACACTCGTCGTTAATGTTTAGAGACAAATTGAGCAAACTTAAAAAAATAAAACAGGGGGTTTCACAGGGTGGTGTCTTTTCCCCGCTACTGTTTAACTTTTACATTTCAGAGCTCCCTCAACCACCAGAGGGAGTCTCGATCGTCTCCTACGCCGACCATTGCTCGATCCCGGCGACTGGGAAAGTAAACGGGTATCTCTCCGATCTTTCTTGCTTCTTCACTGCAAGGAGCCTAACCCTCTCCCCTACGAAATCCTCTGCGACCCTGTGCACAACCTGAACGAAGGAGGTTAGGCTACCGCTAAGAACTCACGTGGATGACACACCAATTCCGACGGTGAATAATCCTAAAATACTCGGAGTAACATTCGAGAGCCTGCTCTCCTTCTCTGCGCACGCAACCGCTATTGTCAATAAAGTACAGAGCCGCAAGAAGGTGCTCAAGTCGCTTGCCGGCAGTACTTGGGGCAAATACAAAGAAACGTTGCTGGCAACATACAAGGCAATAGGCCGGCCGGTTTTAAACTACGCAGCACCAGTGTGGTCGCCGGGGACTAGTAGGACGCAGTGGACGAAGCTACAGACGGGTCAAAATACAGCACTTAGGACAGCGACCGGATGCCTCCTGATGTCACCAGAACACCACCTCCACATGAGGCGAAAATGCTCCCAATTAGGGAGCACAACACGATGCTCTGCAAGCAGTTTCTTGTTGGGAGCCACAGATGTGGCCACCCAAATATACAGCTGCTTGCAGAGGAGCCCTCGCCGAGGCACGTCAGGAGGAATCTATATGAACTGACGGACGAAGTCCAGAGGTTCATTAAGCAGCCTCTGGACCCGTCAGCTCACAGACAGGCCCTGAACGGCATTCACAGGGACGCAGTCTCAAGTTATGTAGACTCTAGACCTCTGAATGCCGTTCTAGGCACACAAACACCGGACATCGACGCGACGGAGCTCCATCTGCCTCGGGAGACCAGAACAATAGCCCAACTTCGCTCTGGCTACTGCAGCAGGTTAAATTCCTACCTGAGAGGGTTAAATGCGGATGTGCCGAACGAATGTCCGGCATGCGGAGAGACCCCTCACGACTCGAAACATCTCTTCGCATGCCCGGAAAACTCCACAACCCTAAAAGCATCGTCCCTATGGACCGACCCCATAGGGGCTGCACGCTTCTTGGGGCTGTCGTTAGTGGAACTCGACGACAACGACTGAGTTATCAGCCGATCTGGGCGGGGTTGTTGTAGCCCATACAACAACAACAACAAAACCGCAAATTTTTGAACGCAAATTCATTCTATAAATCATGTCGTTGTGTTAAATTATACTCTTCGTTTCGCGTGATCTTATATATTTGGTTTATGGGTTCAATGTACCATATATTAAAAAAACATCGATGTATCGATACACCTAGTGGAAAATGCTCGATGCTTCGAAGGAGAACATCGATATTCTCGATGCATCGATATTTTGGCTACATTTCTAATTTGCGGTCTATGGTAAAATTCACCCAAAAGTTAATTATTGGTTAACAACTAACAAGAATAACTTTGTGCTCTTAAAATACTAATTTAATTACCTATATAAAGCATGATACTAAAAATATCATGATAGAAAGTAACTGAGGAAAACGAAATTATATTATTCGATTAGCGTGATCAAAAAAGTGTCCAAGATATGGAAACTAGCACCCCATTAGGAGGCACTGTGCCTAACGGCGACCGAATATGTCGAGTTTGTTTGCAAGAAAATGTTGAATTGTTCTCAATTTTTAAAGAAACTTATAGTAGTGGCGTCACTATAGCGCATATTTTATCGGAATGTATCCGGTACCCCATAATAGCAGGCGATCTAAAACTTCCGCATCATATTTGCTCCTGTTGTCTGGATAAAGCCCGTGCTGCCTACGATTTTAAACAGCGTGTGGAAAAGGCGTATGTTTCATTACTGGATCAGGTGGCAGAAAATATTAAGTGCAATACAAAACAGGGGATATCATCCTCTCGACTTAGGGATTATGGTACACAAACTGATAGACTCAGCTTACATCCTTGTGAAATGTGTGAAATGAAGTTTTTCGACTTGTTGGAACTTCGCCAACACCGTAAGCAGTTTCATCACAATAGCAATTTGCAATGTCGAATTTGTGGAATACGCTTTGAACGCATCAGACAGTTGCGAAGCCATCTGGTACACAAACACCCAAGTGTTGGTATTGCATTGGATATACAGTGTTCAATATGCCGGAGACGCTTTTCACGTAGAGAGCACTTAAATCGTCATTTGCGTAACGTACATCGCCAACCTGAGGCCGTGAGGTGATAAAAAAAAAAAAAAAAAAAATCAATGGTTTTAACTTATTTCTATCTTTGAATACGTACCTTTTTAGTATTAGAGTCTCTCTCAAGGAGCCAGAAATCGAACTATCTAGTCATAAAACTAAGGCACATCAACCAGCTAAACCAAAAGATGTGGAGGTGAAGATGTAAGTAAAACGCGTTGTCAATTTGTAATACATTAAAAACATTTTTTTATTAAGTTTGGAAAAAGAAAAACAGTTGGTGGAAAGTAACTTTCAATTAGAAAAAAACACTGGTGCCGCCGAAAACGAAGACTTTCTGGTTTCTTCCCATTTTCTTGAATGTGGGCAGCATGTGCATGGCGAGATTGAAAGTGATGTAAATATGATTACTAACCCAATTTCGAGTGATGAGGAAGCCAACGACGGTATGGAATTACCTGATGATATCTTACCTCAATTAAAATTAGAGCATGAACCCGATATAAAAGGTATTATATTAATTTTTATATTCTATTTATACTAATGAGTATTTAGTTAAATGTGAATTGGATGATTCTACGAATGGCTTCGACATGGCAATGATATCACCCGATTGGGAAAGAAGTAATTCGCCGGTTAATAAAAGTGCAATCAAACAAGAAAAAAGTTTGTTCATACCCTTGGGTGTGGAAAATTTATCTACACCGAAGAGAAACTCAAGCTCAAATGAAGAGAACAACGACTATACCGAGCGCCGGCGTATAACCGAAGTTGTTGACGAGTTCCTTGCAATTGATGAAACAGCTAATTCAGAAAACCGTTGTTCGAAATGCCAACGAACCTTTTCGCGTCACTGCCATCTGCGGCGTCACATGCTAACACACGTTGATGAAAAGGCACATGCGTGCACCTACTGTCCGAAACGTTTTGCACGAAGTGACCACCTTAAAAAGCACGTTATGAACCTGCATCAAGCAAAAGAGTTCAAGTGTGATCATTGCAATAGTGCGTTTGCTCGTTCAGCCGAATTGACGAAGCATATTGAAACACGACATGGTAGCGATCCTCAAGCTCATAAGGTGCATGACTGCGAGTATTGTGGCAAAAAGTTTACAAGCCGAACTTATCTTCGTAAGCATATCTTAATGCATACCGATCGCGTTTTTGCTTGTAAATTTTGCGAAGAGACATTTAAAGAACGTAAGGCATTGCGTGAACACGAGAAAGGTCATCATAGTGACCGACGGAATTTTCTCTGTTCGGTGTGCGGAGAAAGTTTCGTCCGT